ATGGTGGAACCGACCTTCGAATCTTTTCACCCAACACTTTCACTCGAAATGGAAGTAAACTCAACATTTATGAAACAAGATATTACTCGAAGCCCAATTTTTCTTCTTATTTATAGAAGTGGGTTGACCTCGTTGTCGCAACTTTGTCTTGTGTTCAGGGAGACTATGTAGGACGCACCGAGTCTGAAGTCGTCTGCCATATTAGTTGTCATGATTCCCAGCATCTGACAATGGAATTGATACATTCTCAAACGTTTCGCCGAGATCGTAGTCGGCATCATCAGGGAGCCTTGCCATTCTCCGCACCAAGCTACGAACTCGTCAAAGAGACAAGTGAAGCTAATCCCTCGACAAACATTGTACCGAAAGCGTTTATACTATCACTCAACATCTTGGTCTTTATATATTTAATTCTTCTTCGCCTAATTAGTGATTTCTTGGCTCGTCATAGCAGGTCAGGCATGGATTAGTTATGATCAAAAGACATCGAGCCAAGTAATTCCCCTCACATTCTAGTTTCAGTTTCCGGTGGGGCTCCTTTCACGAATAACTTCCAATCGCATTTTCCTTGTAAATGAAAATCAAATCACATCGAATCAGCATGAGCGTCTCCAAACCCGTCCTCATTTCACACCTCAATGGAAACTTATCAGTATTCCTATTTCGGTTTCATGTGAGGCCAATTTTGAATTCCCCCCAGCTTCCTTTGCACAGCAACTGGAAATTGAGACATCAAGAAACCTGTACTGAAGGAATGAAGCAATTCCAGTTGTGATGATGTCTGTAAAGTGGAGTAGCAGACAATGGCTTTGCATATTTTCGCTGGAATCGAATACGAGTCTTTAGTACTGCGTCAGCCTGAACGAACCAGTACATATTGAAATTGCATCATCACTAGGTGCATCATTTACTGCATTCAGGTGAGAGCAGCCATTGAATCTCTTCAGCCGAAATGATATTGTTGGGGATACCTTCATTTCGTATGAAACTGCATGAGGAAGAGATTCGTATATTGATTTCCCCGGAAGACGACGGCTTATTCCGGTTGTACTGCAGCCGTTCAGCTTTACTACGACTTTCAGGTCTATTTAGTCACGATACATCCTCCCTCACTTTGGTTGAAGGTGGGATTTTGCAAGAATAATTTCCAACTCTGAAGATGTTCACCATATGGCGAAGTAGAAGCCAGCCGATCTTCTCCCGAAACAATGAAGGATTTCTCGTGAAACTCAATCAACCTGAACGTTGTATTGAGGCAAAATGGCTGTAGTACAGCAGGAATCAGCTGTCGTCTTCTGGTGAGATTAATCTACAAATCTCTTCTTCACGAAATGGATTCATCGAAACTCAGTCACTCTTCTTATCTACAAACGAAATGATGGTCAGCTCAACAGACATGAGTAACCAGATTGTAACCGACTAAAAGGATAGTCAACTTCTGGTATACCCAAACAAGAGGATGTGACTACTGGAGTAGGCAGGAGATTTTCTTATATGAAATAAGAGTGTAAGTCTGCGATATTGTGCTGAGAGTTTAGAAGGACACCACAAAGGTGAAAGTACCATTCAAAGTAGGTATGTAATTGGTACCAAAATAAATCAGTCGAAAACCCTCACCGAATAGGTTGGTTCAATCCCGCTCTTGCCCTAATCTATTATGAATTCTGTTAATTATTTACTATGCCTGAGTAGTGATGACACTTCGGATGCTAATCCCCCGTTCAGATGTATTAACTAAAATTACTACACAATTTTTTCGAGTAACCTTTCTTTTGTTGAGCTCGCTTTACTTTCAAGTGAAGTTGTGAAGCGAAGAAATTTGAAGGTCATTCCCATTTGACGGACATCATCTCAAGCCGATTATCCTTCTTACAACCATATGCAAACATACAAGTAAAAAAGACTTCAATCTATGCGATATAATAAAAAGTTTTTTTATTATATGACTTAAATTTATTTGTGAGAATTGTAATTTGCCCTCATGATGCCCATCATGTAACAAGCGAAAGACTAGCCCATTTTCACCAGGGTAAAATGAGATTGCCTAGGAGGCAGAATACACCAAATTGTTTCAGTAGAATCAAGAGGAATCTTTATCGCGAACCTGCATACACACCTGAGCTCAACAATAAGAAAACTCACACTTTCCACTAAGTTCTACGATATTACTTTTGGCCTAGCGAGTAGGGTGCTGAAAGGGTTGACTGCTGAGGTTGCTACTCAACACATCCATTAGGTAAATAGTAATTTTTTCACATTCCCAATTCTCAAATCTCCAGAGCCTCGAACGAGGGTCGACCTGTTAGTTTGTCCATCCTGTGTCAGCCTAGAAGCTACCCGATATGGACGAGTATCCAGTTTAGAGCAGTAACAACTTCATCCAGCACACAAATTCCCCTGACCTAAGGGCCTCAGAAACAAAGCGAAAGCAGAATGTAATCCACCACAAGGGTTGTTTAAACCAAATTTTGCCTGAAGGCTGATTCAGCCTCAAATCGCCACTCCCTATACCGGCCTGGGTTCAGTCCAAAGTGGGTCATAGCGATAAGGCCCATCAAATGTGTC